CTGTAGCTCTTTATTTTCTGTGATGGAGTCTTTAAAAACATTTTTTTGGTCACAAAAAACAATTGAGCATTTTGGTTCTTTCATAAATTTATTATAGATCTTCTGGAAATATGACAAAATCTGCTGGGTTAATAAATATACATGTCATTTCTAGGAGAATAACCAAAATGCATAGTTAGTATAGTCAGTAAGACACATGTTTACATCATTCTATCATACATGGTCTTTACAACTGTATGTAAATATTGTTCACAACTGTATATCAACCATATTTTTCTTTTAAAACTTTTTTTTCCTGTTGGGAGCATTTAATGATATTTGAGGGACAGAACTGACTTTAGGGCTTTCACATCAAAAATCAAGTAAAACATGGTACAACTTTGAAATGTTTAAATCTAATTTTTAGTTTGTGTTTTTTGTGTGTAATGGAACAGCACCCAGATTGGTGTCAGACCTACAAGCTCACATTGCTACAAATGTCACTCTCTGCTTCCATCTGACACTAGACTGTGCAAAAGATTTTAATTTTATTACTAAAAGTAAATAATTGCTCAGAAAATCTAATCATCTTAACCTAATAGTCTGACCTTCGCAGTTTGTTCACAGTCTGATGCAATGATATTATGCAACCCAACACCTCTCCCATTAAAGGTGTGAATGGCTGATGAGCCCTTTCCCTTCCCCCCCGAGCTGCTCTGTTGGTACACAGAAGCTCTACTTCTCCCAAAGGTGCGCTGTTAGAGCCAACTAATCGGCCACAAGGCAGCTGTGTAATATTTACGTGTGAAATATTTCCCAGAGTTACAAGTTGGAACAAAAACAAGAACCCCTGAGTGTAAGAACAATGTTGACACGGCATGTTGACGGCAAACAATGGCGTGACACATTGCTGGAATCAGTCTGTGAAGGTTGGAGTGATACCAAGTGGAGGATGTCAGGAATTTGTAGCTGCTCAGAGAGAAAATAAAACCAAGTCTGTCTTCATATTATTAGCTGCTTCAACACAACACAATGTTGCTGCAAATGTGTGTCCATGAGAAGTCTCTTTTAAGGAGGCCGTTCATAGTCTGCAAAAGGGAAAAATACTTGTCCTTGCTTCGTAATTACGACAGGTTTTCCTCTCCAAACAGCTGATAAAAGGTCCTGTGTGTACAATAGCTTTCTTGCCTTCAGATAAACCTTTCTTCCTCAAAGCAAAGGGCCTGTCCTCCTTCCCCAGTGCTTCCTTAGTTACTCTGCTTTGTTACCCTGTGATGATGCTAGAGGTGAGGGGTCAGGGTATCACCGAAATGATCATTTATGTTCAGTTTTGTACCAAACTTTGTATTTTTATGATTTAATGTTTGTTTGTATACAAAAAGTATGCAGTTCGATGACTGTCTAACCCCACAGCATTAATACCCTCGGCTTATTTCCAGTGCTCGTCCCTGTATACATAAAACTCAACAACAGAATGCACTGGAACAGTACAAAACACCAACTCAGCAATATATTCAGACAGAACACCATAGGACATACGAGGGTCAAAATGTGCTTCACCAGGAGACGTCACTGGAGAATGATTTATCTTGCATTACTTTTCAACATGGTCTCCTTTAATTTCAGTTCACTTGGTCCACCAAAGTTCAAGCTTCGCCATCCCTCAAGAAGGTCACATCTCGAGCCTCCAGATGATCTTCAACGGCAAGGATGGCTTCATCATCACTCTGAATGTGGTGACCACGTTGGTGCCATTTCGTTTTGGGAAACAGAAAGAAGTCAGACGGTGCAGGTCGGGCGAGGCAGGTTTGTGGAGCGACAGTTCAAAGTTACATTTGGCTGCTTCTGCCACCTGTGCTGTGTGGATGGACAGACTGTCCAGCAACTAGCTCAAAGCTTTCTTCACCTTTCTTCTTTGGTTGCTTCAAACATTTGAGTTTTTTTGGGTCCTCATATTTGGCTTTATAGTGTACAGTTATGTTCCAAAATGGAAGGTAGGCCCCTTGTTCTTCGAGTGAGGCCGAGAACTTTTTTAAGTCACCTGTAATTATGAAACTATCAGTCTAACAAATAGTTACTGAAAAGTTTCACAGCGTAGGTGAACATTTAACTTCCCCCTAGTGGGTGTAGTAATTATGATGAGAGCAAAGAATACAGGTGATGTTAGAGAGCCAGAAAGGCCTCATAGGTCGGGGTGGATGGACGGATCAACAAAACACTGGACTTTCAAGCTATAGTGGGCAGAACTCTGGAAAAGAAAACTAAATAAATAAAAAAAATGTCAAAATCATCCCTTCCCCCTTTAGGTCTTGAGAAGTGATGACTCTTCAAGTGTGCAGAAATATTCAAGCCAAAAGTCAAGATTTACTTGCGACTCTATGCAGGATGCAAACCCCACTATGCTGAGTGAAAGTCCTCTGTTTAACCCACTGATCCAACATGGCCTGTTTGTAATGTGGACTTTGTTGCTCTTTGTACGGTCTCAGCCGATCTGGATGAAAAGATTTGTGGTTGATAAAAGTCTCCTGTCAGGGGCCACATTTTCTAAAGATGAGAATGAAGCTAAGAGGGGATGCAGAAATCTAGTTCCCACTCAGACCACTTGAGTTGCAATACCCCTAAAGGATATTATGGGATTTTTGACAAATTACAGCAAAAAAAACAACAAAAAAACAAAAAAACACTGCCTACCGCAGCTTAGACTCGATTGTGCTTCGCTGTCATTCTTTTAACCGTAATTATTCCATAACCTTAATCACATGTCCATCCATCCATCATCTGGGTTGTGGGGGGCTGGAGTCCATCCCAGCTGACTCAGGGTGAAGGCAGGTTCACCTGGACAGATCACCAGTCTGTCACAGGGCTACACTTAGAGACAGACAACCAAGCACACTCACATTCACACCTACAGACAATTTAGAATCACCAATTAACCTCAGCATATTTCTGAACTGTGGGAGGAAGCTGGAGAACCCAGAGAGAACCCACGCTGCACGGGGAGAACATGGAGACTCCATGCAGGTGCCCCCACTGGTCTGCGAACCTGTGACCTTCTTTCTGCGAGGTAACGGTGCCAACCACCGAGCCACCTTGCAGCTCCTAATCACATGTCTATGATTGGAATCATAATACAGAAGGTGCTGTAGCTTAGTTACATGAACTGAAACATCATAAAGAAAGTACTGATTTCAACCTAATTTAAAATCTTTCTCTCAACTTAAAGAAGTTGCTTTTGTGCCACATCCTAACCAACCTTCATCATTAGAGGGCTAGCAGTTCATCTGTCCATCTTCTGTCCATCTGTCCAGGTGCAGGAGTATATTGCCCAGTATGCTTTTAAGGGTTGTATTAGAAAGTAGAGACCAGGGAGCCATGTAGTTGTTTTAGATTGATGGACTTGTTGCAACAGATTGATCGTCACTGTTCTGAAGCTCTGCATTACAGCCAACACTGTTAACTCAGCTGTAGAAGCCGACTGTGGGAGCCTTCCTCATCAATTCGAAGTCAAATTATATCAATCAAATCAAGTTTATTGTCATTTTGCTGTACATACACAGTAGTACAGGCAAGATGAGAGAGCGTTTCTTCAGGATCCAATAAATCACCAGTGTGGCCCACATAAGTGCCCTAAAATTGTACTTCCTTATTCAGCATTTTTATATCATCAGCAGCTCTTCATGGTTGTGGTTCAGTTCCACTGCTACTATGTCCAGCTATAAGAGGCAGCAAAGACAAAAGGTCTGTAATATGAGCAAGCCTTTGCTAAACTGTTTGCCATTACAACTTCATTAGACGTGGTAACAGGCCAGTGGTTGCAGACAGTCTGTTGTGCTGCTACCAAGTGGTCAAGGTTGGGAATGCTTTTGTTTGCATTTGATTTTTTGGTTGTGTCTTTAATGGTAACATGCACTTTGAACAGTTTGAGCAAAGGTAAGCATAACAGGAGAAAAGGAGGAGAATCGGCTCATTGCAGAAAGAGAATAACTCTCGTTGTGGCAAGAATTTTCATTAATTCATTAATTCATTAATTAGCAGCCTTATAAAATTTAGCTTCTCTATTTTCATTTAACCTGTTTTAACCAGGGAGGCCCATCGACAACGACCTCTATTCTACAAAGACTACAACAGACTAATTCAGACTCAGGATACAGAGAAACACACGTGTTTGTTGTTGTTGCTGCACATTAGGGTATGTGTGTTAGAACTACTTTGGTGTTATAATCTATTCAGATCTTCAGAGGGTGGGTATTTATGCCAAGGGCAGAGGGAGAATTTGTACCAAAAGGATTTATCACTGCACAACAATAACAGGTTTCATTTCAATTCAGTCAATTCAGATCATACGTGGAAACAGCTAAATGGATTTTCTAATAACAGACGAAGGGTAAGTTTGTAGGAGTGTGGATTTACTGTAAGACGTGGCATTTATACTGAGGATCAAGTGTAGTTTTTATTTCTCTTCAGTTGAATAAACAAGCTGCACACATATGTCCGCACAGAATAATAATAATAATAAAAAAAAAACAACAAAAGAATGGCAATACAACAATGATATATTTAGCAGATTAAAATACAGTTAAACTGTATTTTTTTTAGCTGCTGATGCAGTGTTCACACATTCAGATGTGTGAACAAACCTCACAACAAACATGTTACCTTATTTTACTGCTTTATGAATAAACGCCAGTTAGACACAGCCGGTCTTTGCATCTCTCAACTTAAGAGCAGAAAACATGCAGTAAAACATCTGCTACACTCTAGAATGAGGTCTATACTGACAAGTGAAATGAGATTTTATCTTCAATGTGCCTTACTTTTATTTCCACGGGACTGTAACAGTTTTAAATGAGTAGTACTTTCATACACACATAAAGTGAGTTTAATCTACTGTAACCTAAAGATAGTTGGCTTTTGTTTTGAATTTTTTTTTTGAGTTGTGTTTTGATTTTAGTTTTTAAAATAACAAGACAGGGTGGAACGTATCTGCTGATATTTATTGTTTTCATGATGTACATAAACAGTCAGTGCAGTTTTGTATTTGCAAGGTTGCCCTGAAATATTTTTCCAGAAATGATCATTCTGATAGCTGATCGAAACCATCTGTAAAAGAAAGCATAAATAAAGGGATTGAACATTGAATTACACAGAGCAAACCAGTTAAATGGTTCAATCAGATTTTGAACAAAACGACTCAAGTCATTCAAGGGATAAGAAACTAAAAGAGGAGCCCAGCATAGTATATATAATCCCAAAACAACGGCGAGAGTTTTGGTGGCCTTATTCTCCATCTTCCTGTCAGTGGCTCCGAGCTGAGAGGCTGCATTCTGGATGCTGCGAGCCTGTTTCTGTGCAACCATGAAGATTTTAGCGTAAATACAAAGCAAAACTACTGTTGGAATATAAAATGTAAAAGCACTCAAAATAAGGAGAAGTTTGAAACAGAGATCATCACATGAATCATTAGTTATCCCCAGTCCAAAGTAAAGCAATCCACCTAACACAGATGAACCCCAGCACCCCAGGGTCATTGTCACAGCAGAATTCAGAGTTATTTTAGTTTTGTACAACAGAGGATGACACACTGCATAATATCTGTCAACAGCAATACAGCACAGGTTCAGAATGGAAATTATGCTTGACATAAAATCAATGGTGCCTCGTATTAAACATTGCAAAGTGATGTGATATAGGCACGTGGATGATGTGTATGTCATATTTAAAGGAAACAACACAGCCCCTATTAGCAGGTCAAGCACAGCCAGAGAGAGGATGAGGTAGTTTGTAGGAGTGTGAAGCTGTTTGAAGTAAGCAATGGAGATTATGACAAGAAGGTTTCCAAATACTGTGATAAGAGTCAATGAGGTAAGAAAAACATATAATAAAGCACATAATACATCATTATCTGACTTGCAGAGAAAGACCACATCATTATAGGTCATATTGAATGACTCCATGCTGCCACGGACCTGAAATTTCAACAAACAATTCAGTTTTCCATCAATGAGCAACAAGAAAACTGCACTTAAAATTACATTTCTCTCACTATACCCACAGCAGTTCAGTACAAGACACACACACACAGTTCACGCTCACTTGATTCTTACGCAACATGAAGTCCTCCAGGTAATCCCTGTGTTGATGAGAGCACTTGGTCTGACTCGCAATGAGCAGAGCCTTTAGACACCAAATGCCACTTTTAAAATCTATCAGCATATCACGATTAATAATTAAGTATTTGCTGAACCAATTAGACATGGGTACACATGCCGGTTTTATGACATCACTGCAAAGATGTGTGATGGTCGGGTTATGTGTGCACATGCGTGTGCATGATTGTTAAATGAATCCTTTATTTTTAATGTCAGATAAAACTTAGAACTAGCTTCTCATGTGCTGTCCTAATGCGAGTCACAATTCAACAACACGCACAGTGACAAAGCACCACTCAGGAAATTTAACAAGACAAGACAAAACACATAATAGAAACTTTCATAAGTCGTGTGTGTGTGTGTGTGTGTGTGTGTGTGTGTGTGTGTGTGTGTGTGTGTGTGTGTGTTAGACAAATGAGAAACAAGGATGTTTCTTTACAAAACCAAACCAACCAGTTGTTACAGAGACTACTGTGGTGAAGTTGGCCCATAGGTGACGTTCATACAGTGTAAGATACATGTACCGGTGAGGGGAGTAACATTGATTAAATCTTTGCAATGACACCTAACAAGTAGTGGAACATATCACACAGCAAGTGAACAGTCATTTCTGGAATGTCACGTGTAAGTAGCGGCAAACTAACAGAAGAACTATTGTAGCACAACTGCTAAAAACCTAAATGCTGACTATAATAGAAAGATGTCAGAATACATTTCCTAAAGTCTGAAAATAAAGCTAAGAGGGAGTGCAGAAGTCTAGTCCCCACTCAAACCACTTGAGTTGCAATATGCTGAAAGGATATTATGGGATTTTTGCCATATTACAGCAAAAAAAGATACTGCCCACCCCAGCTTATGCTCGATTGCGCTTCACTGTCATTCTTTTAACCGCAATTATTCCATAACCTCATAATACAGAAGGCTCTCTTGCTTAGTTGCTTGTTTGCTATTGAAATATCATAAAGAAAGTCCTGTAATTTAAAAAAAAAAAAAAGTACTGTAACAACTGGCTGGACAGAAGAAAGTCAGGAGACATTGTTAGCGTTCCGTTGTTTGTGGCCCAAACAACAGTAACCCTGGTCCAAATGGCCCAAAATAAAAGAACAGGGTTCATGTCAGCCGTAGCCATGCCAAAAGACCACAGAACAAAACAAGCCTACAACATCCACAGGCCTCAAAGTTTGCACACAATCCTTTAGTGGCAAGTGAGTACCTGATAACTTCTTCCCACTGGGGCTTTTGTCCGGACTCCACCCATTGCAACACCGGTTGCAGATCAGGGTCCTGTTCCTGCTGTGTCAACAAACTGTGCCTCTCTACAGGTTGGCCTGTCCCCATCATGCTTGAGGCCTCGCTGCTCCTCTGCATGGAATTTCTCCTCCTGGGTCTCCCTCCTTTCACAATAATGGCAGCTGTAGGTGGCACAGGTGCGGCGGGACATGGCGTCGGCATTAGCATGGTGAGTTCCAGTCCACAGTGAAGGTGTATGGTGCTAGTCCTTCGAGCCATCTGTCCTCTCACAATCACCAACAGCTCCCTGCGTGTCACACAGTAACGTCGTTCAGCTTTGTTGAAGGTGTTGCTGAAGTATGACACCACTTTCTCCCCTTTTGTCCCTTCTGGCTCAGCACTGCTCCCATCCCCACATCGCTGGCGTCGTTGTCCAGAACGAACGGCAAGTCAGGGACTGGGGGGGTGAGGACGGGGGACTCTGTCAAGGCCTTCGTCAAAGAGCTGAAGGCCTGCTCACAATCTGCTGTCCAAATGAAATCATTGTCCTTCTGCTGCAGGCGAAAGAGGGGTACAGCTATACAAGAGAAGCCATGTACAAACTACCCGTAGTAGGACGCCAGCCCAATGAAGCTCTTAAACTCTCACAGGTTGGTGGAGGCTGGCTAGCCTCTCACTGCGCACACTTATTCCTCCAGCATGCTGATACCCTCTCCTTCAATCCTGTGCCCCAGAAACTCCAAGTCCTTCCTCATGAAGCAGCACTGGTCGGGGTGGAGCTTCAGTCCGGCCGCTGCTATCCTCTGCAGAACCCGCTGCAAGGCTTCCAAAGCCACTTTGAAGGTGTTACCATGGACCAAGATGTCATCCAGGTAAACCAGACACTCCTGTCTGGGGATGTCAGCCAACACTTTTTCCATCAGCCCAGCATAGAGGTGAGTTTGCCAGTCACTGTCCACAGTTTCACCTCCGTAGGTTCCGACAGTGTCCCTGTTGGGATCACATCTGGTCTCATCAGCGTTGCAGTGGAGCCTATATCAACAAGGGCCACATGCTGGGTCTGTGTATTTACATACACACACACACACACATACATACATACATACATGTGTATGTAAATTTCTTCTAACCCTGTGATATATATATTTCAAGATGTAAAAACATCCAGAAACTTTCAACAGATGAATTAAAGCACTTTACGTTATAATGCACTCCTGCCATCTGGCTGACAGTGAACCTGCACTGATCTCACCTCTTTTTGTGAATGTGGGTTGGCAGTCAACCAACCTTTGAACTTCTTGAGCTCGTCATCCTAAAATGGGACATTATAGCTTCATCATTAAACAACTAACTGACAATGAGTGACAAACAGGTCATTCTCATTTTTATTCAACAACTGAAACCTTTCACAGCAAAACTGAACATCGTTCTTTTTTATCAAAAATGATTTAAAATAAAATGAGAGCAGCTCTCCATCAGCTTCCTCAGTGGCCCACAGCCCCTTGTTCTATAGATGGTAGAAAATAAATAAACAAGCTATAGAACATTTTTTATTATTATACAAAGCCTTATTTATATGGTATTTTTAATTTAGGTCACTTGTTTCTTCAGTTTCATTTAATGTGTTTATACTTAAATAAAAGCTTGAATACATGCGTACAGTTTGTGTTACTGTATTAAAATTCAAGTGAAATTCACTGTGATGCTAGGGGGCGCCACCTACAATCTTGCCCAGGGCACCAAAGTGGTCAGGGCTGGCCCTGTCGGTGGACATGTGGGCATATGCTGTCCTCGTCAGGGCCTCGATGTCTTAAACCAATAAACGAAGTGGCTCTCCAGGCTGTTTCTGTGGGTTAGACAGCTCTGAGCGCAGGACCCCAGGCTGGTTACACTGTCCAAAACCTTGTTGAAGAGCCCCGACTAAAGCCCCATAGACTTGTCTCTTGCCTGGGCTTAGCAGCAGTAAGCATGATAACACGTCCTCTGTGAGTCAAAGGGCTAACTGGAGTACGCCAAAAGAACACAGAACAAAACAAGCCTATACCGTCTAATCTGATGGGTGGCATCCGCGCTCACACACACACCTATCCACACATGCACACGCTGCTTACCGGCGTCCCACACACACACACACACACACACACACACACTAGCCTCAGTAACAGCATTCATCCTGACTAAACAATAGCGCAACATAAACAGGGTCGCTACAGATCTCATTTTAATCTAAATTATAATCTTTCTCTAAATTAAGAGAAGTTGCTTTTGTGCCACATCCTAACCAACCTTCATCATTAGAGGGCGAGCAGTTTATCTGTGCATCTTCTGTCCATCTGTCCAGGTGCAGGAGTATATTGCCCAGTATGCTTTTAAGGGTTGCATTAGAAAGTAGAGACCAGGGAGCCATGTAGTTGTTCAGGTTGATGGACTTGTTGCAACAGATTGATAGTCGCTGTTCTGAAGCTCTGCATTACAGCCAACACTGTTAACTCAGCTGTAGAAGCCGACTGTGGGAACCTTCCCCATCAAATCAAATCAAGTTTATTGTCATTTTGCTGTACATACACAGTAGCACAGGCAAGATGAGAGAGCGTTTCTTCAGGATCCAATAAATCACCAGTGTGGCCCACATAAGTGCCCTAAAATTGTACTTCCTTATTCAGTATTTTTATATCATCAGCAGCTCTTCATGGTTGTGGTTCAGTTCCACTGCTACTATGTCCAGCTATAAGAGGCAGCAAAGAAAGTCTTGTGTCTTTAATGGTAACATGCACTTTGAACAGTTTGAGCAAAGGTGAACATAACAGGAGAAAAGGAGGAGAATCGGCTCATTGCAGAAAGAGAATAACTCTCGTTGTGGCAAGAATTTTCATTAATTCATTAATTAGCAGCTTTATAAAATTTAGCTTCTCTATTTTCATTTAACCTTTTTTAACCAGGGAGGCCCATCGACAACGACCTCTATTCTACAAAGACTACAACAGACTGATTCAGATTCATATGGACTGTTTTTTCCCCCCTCACTTCTCTTTATTCACACAAAAATCTTAAAAGCATGTCTCAGGATACAGAGAAACACACGTGTTTGTTGTTGTTGCTGCACATTAGGGTATGTGTGTTAGAACTACTTTGGTGTTATAATCTATTCAGATCTTCAGAGGGTAGGTACTTATGCCAAGGGCAGAGGGAGAATTTGTACCAAAAGGATTTATCACTACATAACAATAACAGGTTTCATTTCAATTCAGTCAATTCAGATCATACGTGGAAACAGCTAAATGGATTTTCTGATAACAGACGAAGTCAGACTCATGTGTGTTAGTTAGAAGTGATTTCAGCTGATTAAATAGGAATCACTTATCTAATTTTAGTAGCTTTTGCAGATTGTTGCACTTATTTAGAGCAGCATCATTTAAAAGCAGAATTTCGAGGGCTTTCTTGCGACCTGGTATAATTTGAAATCGCAGTGATGCATTCAGTGTGTGGTCACTGTGTGCTACAACGTAGATTGCAGACACTGTGCAATTCATGCTGTTTATGTTATTTGCCTTAGTTGTGTTTTCTTAGCTGTCAAATCAAGGGTAAGTTTGTAGGAGTGTGGATTTACTGTAAGAAGTGGCAGAGTCATTTATTTTGAGGATCAAGTGTAGTTTTTATTTCTCTTCAGTTGAATAAACAAGCTGCACACATCTGTCCGCACAGAATAATAAAAAAAAAGAAAAAAGAAAACCAACAAAAGAATGGCAATACAACAATGATATATGTAGCAGATTAAAATACAGTTAAACTGTATTTTTTTTAGCTGCTGATGCAGTGTTCACACATTCAGATGTGTGAACAAACCTCACAACAAACATGTAACCTTATTTTACTGCTTTATGAATAAATGCCAGTTAGACACAGCCGGTCTTTGCATCTCTCAACTTAAGAGCAGATGACATGCAGTAAAACATCTGCTACACTCTAGAATGAGGTCTGTACTGACAAGTGAAATGAGATTTTATCTTAAATGTGCCTTACTTTTATTTCCAGGGGACTGTAACAGTTTTAAAGATAACATCTACTAGAAAATTCACATTATTATTTGAAGTTTGTGTCCGTTTCATGAATGTGATTTCATGTGTTTCTGCACTATCACATTCACTTTCATGTTTCACCAGAACAAATACAGAATATGTGAGTTTCTGTCTAAGGTTTTATGTCTCAGCCGACAAATTAATGTAACATAATATTTGATTTAAAACCTGTAATGTTTTGCAATACAAACACTTTTTCATACACCTTAACCTACAGTAAAGAGAACAAATATATCTAGACCTTAATACCTTAATAGTTGTGTTTTTTATAGCAATAATCTTATAGTTTGACAGCATCATACTTTTTTTTGTTCACCTTAAACACCTTTTTTGTAGACTCTGTGCATAGTTGTGGCTCTGCATGAAATGACAGTTCAGTTATAAAGTAAATACTGTAAATAACAAGACAGGGTGAAACGTATCTGCTGATATTTATTGTTTTCATTATGTACATAAACAGTCAGTGCAGTTTTGTATTTGCAAGGTTGCCCTGAAATATTTTTCCAGAAATGATCATTCTGATAGCTGATCGAAACCATCTGTAAAAGAAAGCATAAATAAAGGGATTGAACATTGAATTACACAGAGCGAACCAGTTAAATGGTTCAATCAGATTGAGAACAAAACGACTCAAGTCATTCAAGGGATAAGAAACTAAAAGAGGAGCCCAGCACAATATATATATTCCCAAAACTATAGCCAGAGTTTTGGTGGCCTTATTCTCCATCTTCCTGTCAGTGGCTCCGAACTGAGAGGCTGCATTCTGGATGCTGCGAGCCTGTTTCTGTGCAACCACGAAGATTCTAGCATAAATACAAAGCAAAACTGCTGTTGGAATATAAAATGTAAAACCACTCAAAATAAGGAGAAGTTTGAAACAGAGATCATAACATGAATCATTAGTTATCCCCAGTCCAAAGTAAAGCAATCCACCTAACACAGATGAACCCCAGCACGACAGGGTCATCGTCACAGCAGAATTCAGAGTTATTTTAGTTTTGTACAACAGAGGATGACACACTGCATAATATCTGTCAACAGCAATACAGCACAGGTTCAGAATTGACATTAAGCTTGCCATAAAATCAATGGTGTTTCGTATTAAACATTGCAAAGTGATGTGAGCTAGGCACGTGGATGATGTGTACGTCATATTTAAAGGAAATATCACAGCCCCTATTATCAGGTCAAGCACAGCCAGAGAGAGGATGAGGTAGTTTGTAGGAGTGTGGAGCTGTTTGAAGTAAGCAATGGAGATTATGACAAGAAGGTTTCCAAATACTGTGATAAGAGTCAATGAGGTAAGAAAAACATATAATAAAGCACATAATACATCATTATCTGACTTGCAGAGAAAGACCACATCATTATAGGTCATATTGAATGACTCCATGCTGCCACGGACCTGAAATTTCAACAAACAATTCAGTTTTCCATCAATGAGCAACAAGAAAACTGCACTTAAAATTACATTTCTCTCACTATACCCACAGCAGTTCAGCAAAAGACACACACACACAGTTCACGCTCACTTGATTCTTACGCAACATGAAGTCCTCCAGGTAATCCCTGTGTTGATGAGAGCACTTTGTCTTGCTCGCAATGAGCAGAGCCTTTGGACACAAACTGACACTTTTAAAATCTATCAGCAAATTAGAATAAATAATTAAGTATTTGCTGAACCAATTAGACATGGGTACACATGCCGGTTTTATGACATCACTGCAAAGACGTGTGATGGTCGGGTTATGTGTGCACATGCGTGTGCATGATTGTTAAATTAGTCTTTTATTTTTAATGTCAGATAAAACTTAGAATTAACTTCTCATCTGCTGTCCGAATGTGAGTTACATTTCAATAACACACACAGTGACAAAGTACCACTCATGAAATTAAACAAGACAAAACACATAATAGAAACTTTCATAAGTCGTGTGTGTGTGTGTGTGTGTGTGTGTGTGTGTGTGTATTAGACAAATGAGAAACAAAGATGTTTCTTTCCAAAACCAAACGATCCCGTTGTTACAGAGATAAGCAGAATGTCACAGATTTGCTAGATTTGAGCTTTTCCTGAACCTTTTTTGTAAAGCACCAGTTACATTGACACCAAAACAGCCCCAAAGCATCTTACTACCACCGCCATGCTTGATGGTAGGTTTGGTTTTCTGGTATTTGTAGCAAAACACCACAGTTTTTGTTTCATCTGATCACAGAACTTCTCTTCAGAAGGCCTTTTCATTGTCGATGTGAATGAAGGAAACCTCAGTCAGGCCTCAAGGTGTTGCTTTTAGAGGAAGGCCTTCTTTCTTGCATGACGACATCTCAGCTCATGGTGATGTAAGACACTGTGGATACTGACACTGGTTCCAGCAGCTTCTAATCAATTGCAAACCTGGTTTTTGGTGATTATGGTTGAGTCTTGAACATCCAATTGTCTCTCGGCACTTCCCACATCACCAAAATTGTTAATTCAAGTTGCTGTGTGTATATTTTTGACCCATCAGATTTGGTCATATTTACAGAAGACCTATAATCAACCTACGAAAGAAACACAATGTGTGATTGTTTTTTGTGATCAAGATGCATGCGTTTCAATCATTCCATCCATTGTAGGAGTCACTGGAAACTCAAGACTGCCATGATTTACATGGTCTTTGCAAGTGTTACGACCCCTGGTGTTGGTGCCATCTGGTCTTGTGGTGGATCCCTTATGAGGTCTGAATAGGGAGATGAGTGTCATGAACTCTGGTGTTGCTGACTGGAGAACCTACTCCAGCCCCAGCTGCCAGCCGTTGCAGCTGATCAGCTTGGAGCTACAGACCTCGTTCTCCCCAACTGCCATTCTTGATTGGACCAACATCCGGTTACCTCTACCCTCAGCTAGTCAACCTGCAGCAATCAGCATACCTGGATCATAAAGCTACAACCAACCTCTCACTCAGGGCGGCTGGGATTTAATGTGAACAGTTTGACCTGGTGCCTCTTGTTTTCCTGATTTTGTGTTTCTGTGTCACATCGTAGCTTCTGTTGGTAGCTGCTACCTTTGTGTGGAAGTTACTTGTGTCTTGGTGAGGATTGTTATGCTGTTAAGCAATAAATTGCTTTACCTCAACCAAGTACACCTGGTTTTTGTTGCATCCAGCTGACCCTAGAGGCTGGATTATAACAGCAAGTGTATGTAATATTTGTTCATGACTGTATGTAGCCCCATCAGCAAGGTCTGGGTCTGCCCCGAGGTGTCCTCCCAGTTGATGACCTCCAAAGGAAGGCGCCCACTTGGCCTCCTAATCAGATGCCTTAACCACCTAAGCTGGTGTGTTTTGAGCGGAAGAAGCAGCGACTTTACTCAAAGCTCTCTGGTTGTCCAGGTTCCCTATCTCTGAGGCTGAGCAAGGTCAACCTACCGAGCAAACTCCTCTCGGTTGCTTGTATTTGTGACCTTCTTTAAGGCACTATCTACAGTTCATGACCACAGATGAAGATTGGAACATAGATCAAGTCGAGATCTGCTGTTGTAGGCCCCTTTTCAAGTTCAAGTCAACAAATTTTGCCGGGGGATTCCCATGATGTACTGGGCTCCTGTCCTCTACTCGCCTTTATTATATGGCGCTATATATCACCATTATATATGGGGCAGCTGTGGCTCAGGTGGTAGAGCGAGTCGGTCGATGATTGGAAGGTCGGCGGTTCCATTCCGCCCTGTAACCTGTTTCATGGTCGTTGTGTCCTAAGGCAAGACACTTCACGGATTAGAAGGACAAATTATTTAACTGCAGCTGATAGACTATGACTGTACGAGGTATGTCAGAAAAGTTCCAGGACTGGTATCAGAAAAGATATATTTCAAATCCAAACTACACATTTTCCCCTTCGAACGAGACTCCCCCTGGAGTCAAACACGTTTACAGCCTTCTCTGTCACGCCACTATGCACTCCTGGAAGGATTCTTCCGTGATCCTCCACAGCTCCATCATCACAGCCATCTTGATGTCATCCGTGTCTTCAAAACGGGTCCCCTTTATGACCCTTGAGCTTGTGGAAAGGGAAAAGACGTGCTGGTTGATTGTCTGAAGGGAAAAACTCGTAGATTGTAATTTGGGTTTGAAATATATCTTCTGTGACACCAGTCCTGGAACTTTTCTGACACACCTCTTATGTGACAGCTTATCTGTCTGATGTGTAGATAGGTAAACAGTGGCATCTACTGTTAGCTTCTGACCGATTCTGTTTCCATGTTGGGAATAAATTAATAATTTAAATAATTATTTAAGTTACCGCTGTGTTGTATAGCATTGAGTTGTGTGGATTGAAGCATCAAAGGATGCAGCTCTCTTTACTTTGGAGGTGCGGTGTCACTTATATGGTGAATGCATAGTAATAGCAAAATATGGAATTTATTGTCAGTTCATTTGTTTTGTTATAACTAAAGTGGTTATAATAAATAAATATACCAATGGCTGAACAAAGGACACTCCTGATATTAAAACCTTCATTTAACCTTTATTGAAATGCTTCAAAAGTCCAACAAATCAAGCTGGCATATTGTAGTGAAAACACAATTCAGCAGGGCTTAATAACAAAACTTAAAGAGATAGTTTGGTTTCTTTGTTTGCAGTGTTGCAGTTGGCTTATGTATTGTCAGTGCATAACCTGCAGTGGGTTGTGGTCAGCTGGCCAACGTTTGAAGAAGCAGAGTTCTGACATTTAAGTCATGAATTGCTGTAAATGAGGTCAACAACTTTGTTGGGCTTTACTGAGATTTCAAAAAAGAGAAGAAGACAGAATAGAATGTCACAAGCTTTATTCTTCAATCCTGGGGATTATGTGCTGAGGTGGAGTTGGCCCATAAGTGATGTTCATACAGTGTAAGATACATGTACCGGTGAGGGGAAGAACATTGATAAAATCTTTGCAATGACACCTAACAAGTAGTGGAACATATCACACAGCAAGTGAACAGTCATTTCAGGAAAGTCATGGCAAATGAACAGAAGAACTATTGTAGCACAAACTGCTGAAAACCTAAATGCTGACTATGATTGGAAGATGCCAGAATACGCTGCATCGCATGTCCACTGCAAACAGCACCTACGATATCAGACACGGACCACGGGCACAAACAGAAAGTCTACTTTACCATCACCTGTAGCCGGTCAGTTTTTGTTTTGAAATGAGTCATGAAAGTTGTGCGCTTTTTTTTTTCCATTTCAGTTTCAGCTCATGTTTTATAGAAACATTTATATTCATAGCAAAAATCCTATCATTTGAAAGCCTTAAACATTTTTTTTTTGGTGTAGACTCTGTGCACAGTAGAGAGTTGTGACTGCATATTTGTACAGCGACAGTTTAGTTACACAGCAGATCTCGTAAAGATCAAGACAAAGTATTTGAACAAATTGCATTAATCTGTATTCACAACATTATGCACAAAATAGTCAGTTCAGTTTTGTGTTTGCAAAATCACCTTGAAATATTTTTCCAGAAATGATCATTCTGATAGCTGATCGAAACCATCTGTAAAAGAAAGCATAAATAAAGGGATTGAACATTGAATTAGAAAGAGCAAACCAGTTAAATGGTTCCATCAAAGTGGTAACGATATGACTCAAAGTCTGAAATGGATAAGAAACAAAAAGAGGCACCCAGCACAACATATACAATCCCACAACTACAGCCAGAGTTTTGGTTGATTTTTTCTCCATCTGACTAACAGCTGCTCCAAACTGAGAGGTCGTATTCTGGATGCTGCGCGCCTGTCTCTTTGCAACAATGAAGATTTTACAGTAGATAAAAACCAACATTATTGTTGGGAGGTAAAATATCAAACCGCTTATAAAAAGGAGAAGTAACAAACATGTCTCTTCACAGGCATCTCCAGGCAATGACATAAAAAAGAAAAAAACTCCAGTTAGAACAGAGATAGCCCAGCTCCCCAGACTCATCATCAAAACAGCATTTTCAGTTATTTTAGTTTTATACAACAGAGGATGACAAACTGCATAATATCTGTCAACAGCAATACAGCACAGGTTCAGAATGGAAGATGCACTTATTGTAAAGTCAATGCTGCCTCGTATTAAGCAGGTCACAGTGGTGTTAGAGTAGCACAGAGATAGAGATAATAAAATATGTAAAGGAAATATCACAGCCCCTATTAGTAGATCAGCCACAGCCAGAGAGAGGATGAGGTAGTTTGTAGGAGTGTGGAGCTGTTTGAAGTAAGCAATGGAGATTATGACAAGAAGGTTTCCAAATACTGTGATAAGAGTCAATGAGGTAAGAAAAACATATAATAACATACACAATACATCAATCTCTGACCGGCAGAGCTCGGTAATAACATTATAGGTCATATTGAATGACTCCATGCTGCAACGGACCTGAAATTTCAACAAACAATTCAGTTTTCCATCAATGAGCAACAAGAAAACTGCACTTAAAATTACATTTCTCTCACTATACCCACAGCAGTTCAGTAAAAGACACACAGAGAGGTTACGCCCATTTGACCCTTACGCAACATGAAGTCCTCCAGGTAATCCCTGTGTTGATGAGAGCACTTTGTCTGACTCGCAATGAGCAGAGCCTTTAGACACAAACTGCCACTTTTAAAATCTATCAGCATATCCCGATTAATAATTAAATATTTGCTGAACCAATTAGACATGGGTACACATGCCGGTTTTATGACGTCACTGCAAAGACGTGTGATGGTCGGTTTATGTGTGCACATGTGTGTGCATGATTGTTAAATGAATCCTTTATTTTTAATGTCAGATAAAATTTAGAACTAAGTACTTATCTGCTCTCTGAATGCGAGTGACAATTCAACAACATGCACAGTAACAAAGCACCACTCAGGAAATTAAATGAACAAAACAAAACATATAATGGCAAATTCAATAAGTCGTGTGTGTGTGTGTTAGACTAGACAAATGAGAAATAAGGATGTTTCTTTACAAAACCAAACCAACCAGTTGTTACAGAGACAAGCAGAGCAAAACAAATTTGGGAGGATGTTTAACTGAGTTTTGGCTTTTATCAAGGCAACTGAATGACCAAATGCAGTGCAATGCAGGTACAGTGCAATCAAATATATTCAGTTATCTTGATAAAACTAAACAAAATCACATAACAGAATGTGACAGACCTTACAGTTTTGTACACAAGACACAAATGTAAGCATAAACTACAGATTTCAGTGCACAAGTTGTTTAATCAGTATATTTACAGCTGGTTGTATGAAGTTGTTTTTTTTGTTTGTTTGTTTTCTAGCCGGACACCAACATGTAATAGAAAAAGACAGGTGAGAACATTTCAGAGCATCCATAAATATCTTGGTGGTACCCATAGACACAGGGCCTCTAATATGTCAATGGGTGCTGCCTCAGTTTTTATGATGGCAATTTGCATATACTCCAGAGTATTATGAAAAGTGATGTGATGAATTGCAATTAATTGCAAAGTCCCTCTTTGCCATGAAAATGAACTGAATCCTTCCAAAAACATTTCCACTGCATTTTAGCCTTGCCACAAAGAACCAGCTGACATAATGTCAGTGATTCTCTTCTTAACACAGGTGAGAGTGTTGACGAGGACAAGGCTGGCGATCACTCCGTCATATTGACTGAGTTAGAATAACAGACTGGATTCTGGTTTCTTCTTTTCAGACAATAGAATTTAGGATGCCGTGATGTGTCATTTAGAAATTTCCATTTATGTCGTGTGTCATGTGTCACGTGTCATTTGTAAATTTACATTTATAAATGACACGTCACGGCGATCAGCTGACGCCTCTGAGGAAGAATGAAGTTCCAGTCGAAACATGTCAGGTAAAGAAACCATCTCCTAAATTCTATTGTCTGAAAAGAAGAAACCTAAGTACTAATTCAGAGTAGACAAAGTGAACTTGCTGGACGTATGAACAGAGTGGAAACTTCAAAAGGAAGGTGGTGCTGGAAATCATTGTTCTTCCTCTGTAAACCATGGTTACCTGTAAGGAAACATGCAGTCATCATTGCTATGCACAGGCAAGGATACTGCTGCTAGTAAGATTGCACCCAAATCAACCCCTTATCGTATCATTAAGAAGTTTAAGGGGAGAGGTTCAGTTGTTGTGAAGAAGGCCTCAGGGCACCCATAAAAGTTGAGAAAGCGCCAGGACCGTCTCCTAATTCAGCTGCTGGAACATGGCACCACCAGTGCAGAGCTTGCTCAGGAATGGCAGCAGGCAGGTGTGAGTGCATCTACACGCACAGTGAAGCGAAGATGTTTGATGGCTTGGTGTCAAGATGGGCAGCAAAGAAGTCACTTCTCTGGGACAGACTGATATTCTGGGCTGCTGAGGACTGGGTAAAGTCATTTTCTCTGATGAATCCCCTTTTTTGATTGTTTGGGGCATGCAGAAAAAGTACCATCAGTCCTGTGTCCTGCCAACAGTAAAGCATCCTGAGGCCATTCATGTGTGTTGCTTCTCAGCCAAGGGAGTGGGCTCACTCACAGTTTTTCCTAAGAACACAGCCGTGAATAAAAAAATAGACTTCAACTTCTCCCAACCATCTAAGAACAGTTTGGTGAAGAACAATGCCTTTTCCAGCATGATGGAGCACCTTGCCTCAAGGCAGAAGTGATAACTAAGTGGCTCGGGGAACAAAAAAGCAAAATTTGGGGTCCATGGCCAGGAAACTCCCCTGAAATTAATCCTATTGAGAACTTGTGGTCAATCCTCAAAAGGTGGGTGAACTAGCAACAACCCTCACACTACCACCATGTTTCACTGCTGGTATCATGTTTTTCTTGTGGAATGCAGTCTTAACTTTACACCAGATGTGACGGGACCCATGTTTTCTGAAGAGTTCCACCTTTGACTTATCAGTCCACAGCATGTTACCCCAAAAGTCTTGAGGCTACTCTAGATATTTTTTTGTGTTTTTTTTGTGGTCTCATCGATGCCCTTTTTGCCCAGTGTCTTACTTATTGTGGAATCATGTACACTGACCTTAACTGAGGCAAGTGAGGCCTATGGTTCTTTTGATGTTTGTCTGGATTCCTTTATGACCTTCTGGATAAGATATTGATGTGGTCTTGGAGAAATTTTGGCACTGTTGCCACTGTTTCAGGTTTTCTCCATTTGTGGATAATGTATCTCATTTTGGTTTGCTGGAGTCCCACAGTCTTAGAAATGGCTTTGTAACTCTTTCCAGACTGATACATGTCAGTGACTTTCTTTCCCATATGTTCTTGAATTCCTTTTAGAACGTGGGGTAATTTTTGAGACCCTTTAGCTACTTCACAATGCCAGGCAGGTTCTTTTTAAGAGATGTTTAGATTAAACAAGGCTGGCAGTAATCATACGTGGACATGGCTGGTAAAAATGAACCCAGCTGCCAAATGAATTTGATCATTTGCTAAGGTGGCAAATATTTTTTTATTGCAAAGGGCCAGTGGGGCTTGACAGCATTTTTCCTTTAATAAATAATATATTTGTCTTATATTAAAATTAGTTTGATGATCTGAAACATTTACATTGTGACATATATGCAAAAATAGAAGATTATACCTTTTCACAGCTGTGTATAGAACTAGGCTTTAAAAGTGGTTTCACCTTGAAGAATCTGACCTTTCGCTCCACGGCATCTGCCAGGCATGGTGACATTTTTTTTAAAAGGATTGATTAGTCAGTAGGTGGTGTTTTAGTCCACATTGATCTGGGGATTGCTCGTACTCGTATATAACTTATATTGCGTTGTGTCCTTATTTTTTGCTCTTTATTTTGTTCTTTATTCTATGTTGCACTGAAGGAGCTGCTCTTAATGTCATTGCTAAGGAAGAACCAAAATGCCCTTTTTTTTTGTTTGTTTTGTTTTTGTGTGTGTGACAAAGCCATGATTTTAGTAATTCCAAGGTTTCATGAATTACATCATAGAACATTTAGAGTTGAAGGATTCATTGGAAACTTAAGACTGCCATAATAGACATGGTTTTCACAAGTGCATGTAAACTTTCACAACCTGCTCTTATTGCCACACTGGGGAATACATCATTAGACTCACGCTGAGATTATTGCCTCAAAAACTGCAATGACAATAGGGATCTAGGGACGGTGGAAAAGACTGTAAACACAACACTGACACCAGCACCACCTTTCAGGGGAAATGGCAAAAACGCAGACAAACACCAGTCTATTTACATATTTCATACAAACAACGAGTCCTTAGAGGTAGCTACTCAGTATTTAGTGTTTTTAGATATGTTTTGATTTTACAATGCGATTAAAGCTATAGCACATTAAAAAACAATACCATGAGAAAATCACAGCAGACATGTTGTCGTCAACATGCTGTTATACACATTTTAAAGTAATGCTTTAGAAAAGGTTTGTGCAAACCACAAAAACTCCCCCGCTTTCACAGAAGTGTTTAATAGTTGTTGTTCTCCTTTGAACAAGAGTCAACAGCATAGGGAACTACTTCCATGACTGCTTTGTCTAGTTCTGATTATTAACCTGTTTCTGTCATCATGTCTTGTACAGTCAGTTAAACATGTGCCCTGTCCCGTACACTTCTTAATGATGGATTTAACTGTACTTTAAGAGATATTTAGTGACATAAAAATGTTCTTGTATCCATCCTCTGATTTATAATTTTCAATAACCTTCACACAGAGTCACCCAAAGTGGTCTATTGTAGTCTTATTTTTTCCCACTTTGACATTAAAGAATATTTCTAAAAATAATTTCTTGTCAAAAAAGGTGAATCAAATTACCTGTGATTTAATGCTAAAAAAAGCTTATAAGAGGGGTTGACACTTTTTATAGGCACTGTAGGTGCCTATTTGTTCTGACAGATCATGTATTTTGTTCCTTATTTCTGACCACTTTTAACTGTGGGCTGATACACATTCAGTGCCTGTATGTCTATGAATTTTTTTTTACAATGGCAAGATGGTGTATGTAGAGGGACTCAAAATAATCTACAGGCTCTGTGTTTATTGTGATGAATAGAATATTTAATTCAATGCAACACTCTTACTCACTGATGTGTTTTTCATAGACAATAAGGAATGTCTGTGGCACAGATAGATATTGTACTTTAGCTATAATACAGGCATATTAGAATGATGAATGATTACTTGGTTTTAGGCTTGAATGAAATTTAAGAGAAACAAACATAAAAATAAAATAGTGTGTCACTAATCTTATCCTGCAATCCTGAGGTTTATCATTTACTACTCACGCCCAATCCTCCAGGTGCAGCAGTATTCTTGTTTTTTCTGGTAAGGTCATATAATAATGCATTAAAACAGTCAGTTTCAAACAGTGTCAGAGAAAAGCTTTTATTGTAGGTTATACAGTCATTCTACAGTATTGTATTGATTCAGAGTAAATAATTGAAAACAAACACATTTACAGTTTAAACCAATATTCACACGGCAGTATTTTTTATCAATCCGTGACATAATCAAAACAATTTTGTGTTTGTAAAATTTCCCTGAAATATTTTGCCAGATATGATCATTCTGAAAGCTGATCTGAACCAGCAGTAAAAGAAAGCATAGATAAATGGATTGAACATTGAATTCATCAGTGCAATCCAGTTAAGTGTTTCAATCACAGGGACTGGTGCAGGGCGATCAGCAAAAGGCTGGAAGACAACACATAGAAAGTAAGGAGTCAAACATAACAGGAAAACACCCATAACTATAGCCAGAGTTTTGGTGGCCTTCCTCTCCATCTTACTGACAGCTGCTCCAGACTTTGTTACATTCTGGATGCTGTTTACTTGTTTCTGTGCAACCAGGAAGATTTTGAGGTAAATACAGAGCATTATAA